GAAGTCGACAGGAGGCGAAGGGGTTCAATGCAGTGACCAGGTAATCGCTCTTATACTGATGGTGGATCAAAATTTGTTCATGTCAGCTGAGCCCTCTATGCCTTCAGCTTTGGAGGCAAACTCGTGCACAAAAAATGAGCAAATATGTATTTTGTGTCCGTGATGGAATCTGGCGTTGAGTTATTTCGTTTGCTTTTTTTCGTTAGTTGAGCCCCATGAATTTTTATGTCGACTGACTACGCGTTCGGATACCCCACAAAATAGCAGCCCAGTGTGCAACCTATTCTCGGTGAATCACCAGTCCTTATTGCTTTGTTAATAAGGCGATGAGAGGGCAAGCACTACTTTCTTTTCGCGGACATAATGTGACAAGCTACACTCCTTACCTTTGGTTGAAGTAGGCGTGACATTGGAACATGGCATAGAGTGGGTTACTCGCGGAATATTTTGATTCATGACAACCTTCATTTTGTTCGGGTTGGACAAAGACATGGCTACAGTGTCTCAAAATATTGCCGCTACGTGCAATTCAGGTACGCAGCCACCCCTAATGCATCTCAGGGATTTTCCTTGTATCTTGTGTTATAGTTAAAAGGGGCTGCTTACCCCGACAGGGATCCCAGGGAAATAGAAAGGGACTGTTATAAAGCGAGAATAGTGAAGCCGACGAAAAGAAACAGTGAGGTGAAATACAACATGAGTCCCAATAAATTTCTTGCTCGAAGTGGAATTGACTACCTCGCACTAAGCCTAAGCCATTTTATCGAAAGAGACTCCATAGATTCTCTCAAACGCTGTAGTCGTAGTCATTCAGTCACAATAAATGTCGTTTAACATCATCCTGTATGACACGGACTTGAGCGTCCTAGACAACTGGGCGCTATTCGGCTTTGAGTGGGGGGGGGGGCACTTTGCACTTTTGTTAGTTTCTTTTGTTAGTTCATGTTCGGTGATAGGTATCGCTTCGGCAAGACCTGTAAACTTTTGTGAAGCTGCGGAATTGTGTGTGAGCGACTTTGGCCACATGATTCGCAGGTCTTTATAACATGACCTGTAAAAGCTTAGCTCAGTGCCATTCGGTGCCACACCAATACGAACTGCCCCATAATTGCTGGGTCTTTAGTGCATGTTAGACATATGTTTGCGAAATATGCCTCAATTGTTTCAGCTTCAAGATGGTGCCCATTTTGTGAACGACATAAAGACCACGTTACAATCTCAGAACTTGACAGCAGTGGAAGGTCTGATGAAGCGCAGCCGTAAGTTTTCTGTTGCTGTTTACTGGGCACAAAAGCACTCTGAGCCCATAACATAATGCAGTCTCTAGTTAATGGCTACAAGCTCAGTATTTAAAGGCAGTTGGCACGATTATTTGGTACTCGGCCCAAAATGCTAGTAGGGCGCTATGTAGTGGGGAAATGGCGAAAGAACGGAGTGAAACGGTCAAAATCCTGCGAAAAAAGAGCCTCCGTTCTCACTGTGTTAGTAATCAATTTTGGACGAGTTTCCCGTAGGCATCTTGCCAATAACCGCTACCGAAGGTACGGCTGCATATGTGTACTTAAA